GTGTACCCAGTGGTCAGAGAGGGACCATCTAGAATACAACTCCTCAGATCCATAAGGGACACACTCAGAGGGCAGACTCAGTGAGCACCAAAGCCCCACTGAAGCAAGTCTTGCCCCAGAAGGGTGTCTTCAGCACAGAAGTTCTCCCACCGTAGACACAGCTGATTCTCACAGTCAATTGGCCTGGAGGTCAATTCATCCCAGTGATAACTACAACAATCAAGGCTTAACTACAACAAGACTACAACAAGACTGTGCACAAAGCCCACAAAGGGGTGCACCAAGAGTGTCCACCTCAGGTATTGGGGAGGCTGAGCCACTGGGCCCTATAGGACACCTAGCACACAAAGCCACTATACCAACACAGGGAAGCATAAAAAATGCGGAGACAAAGAAACAGGTCACAAATGACAGAAATGGAGGAAAGCAAACGACTGGATTTAGAGTTCAAAACCACGGTTATAAGGTTTTTCAAAAATTTTCTGGAAACCGCCAATAAATTTAGTGAGACCCTGGAGGATATGAAAAAAGACCAACTAGAAATTAAGGATACACTGACTGAAATAAAGAATAATATACAGAGATCCAACAGCAGACAAGAGGATCCCAAGAATCAAGTCAAAGATTTGAAATACGAAGAAACAAAAAAATACCCAACCGGAAAAGCAAAAAGAAAAAAGAATCCAAAAATATGAAGATAGTGTAAGGAGCCTCTGGGACAGCTTCAAGTGTACTAACATCCGAATTATAGGGGTGCCAGAAGAAGAGAGAGGGCAAGATATTAAAAACCTATTTGAAGAAATAATGACAGAAAACTTCCCCTACCTGGTGAAAGAAATAGACTTACAAGTCCAGGAAGCGCAGAGAACCCCAAACAAAAGGAATCCAAAGAGGACCACACCAAGACACATCATAATTAAAATGCCAAGAGCAAAAGACAAAGAGAGAATCTTAAAAGCAGCAAGAGAAAGACAGTCAGTTACCTACAAGAATAGCAAGAACCTACAACCAAGATTACTTTATCCAGCAAAGCTATCATTCAGAATTGAAGGTCAGATAAAGAGCTTCACAGATAAGAAAAAGCTAAAGGAGTTCATCACCACCAAACCAGCATTATATAAAATGCTGAAAGGTATTCTTTAAGAAGAGGAAGAAGAAAAAGGTAAAGATAAAAATTACGAACAGCAAATACACATCTATCAACAAGTGAAACTAAAAATCAAGTGAATAAAAAATCTGATGAACAGAGTAAACTGGTGAATATAATAGAACCAGGGGCATGGAAAGGGAGTGGACTGACAATTCTTGGGGGGAAAGGGGTGTGGGGGTGCAGGAAGAGACTGGACAAAAATCGTACACCTATGGATGAGGACAGTGGGAGGGGTAAGGGCAGAGGGTGGGGTGGGAACTGGGTGGAGGAGAGCTATGGGGGGAAAAAAAGAGGAACAACTGTAATAATCTGAAAAATAAAAATAAAAAAAATAATAAAAAATAAAAAGAAAGAAAAAAAATGAGGCAACTGGGCTGAGTGGGGAGTATGGCAAACAAGAAGCATATATACATGCTCTGTGTCTAAGGAAGCATTTATTGCTCAGTTCAAGCAGATTATCATCCTGCAGAAATGAAGATTCAGTATAACAAGACTTTCTAATTTTTTAGATGCTAAAAATCAATATTTTAACTCAAAAATTGCAATTTTTAATGACAGCAACTAAGTAAAAAAAAAAAAAAATCAAGCACTGCAGAGCAAACAAAATTAATATGGCCAGAGGGCTTTTAGCAGAGAAACCCTTCTAAGAAGGCTCCCTACAGTTTCAAGTGGTGCCCATTATTTGTCGTTGTTTAAGATTTGATGAAAAGGTTCATGTGTTCACTTAGCTTCACTGTCCTTCTTTTATAAAGTTGGATGAAATTCTCTCTCAATTTTGATCTTTTTACAGGCCATCATAATTATTTTTAGTTAACTGAACTATTTGTAGTAAAATTTGGACTTTATGAATGTGTATATTTTTTATAGAGGCAGAGAATTATATAGAATTATACATGCTTCTTTACTTGACTATTTTGATTTGATATCAATGTGTCTGTTTTCTGTCCTATCAGTGGAAGATCAAAGGCAAGTTCTTTATTTATGGTAGAGACAAGTGCTATACAGGACTCCAAATCAGCAATGATTGCTATGTTGTTCCCTATTATGTCTCTTATTTTTCACATTATATGAATGACTTCTTACAGTCTGGCTCTCATGCTAGACATATGATAACTGTGACTTATTCATCTCTGTACTCTGCACACCTGGAAAAATATGTGGAATGTAGAAGTTGCTCAATAAATATTTATTGTACTGAAATGAACTGACCCATAGTATCACAACTCTAATCACATGACTTCAGCTTCACCTTTGGCTCATCCCCAAGGAGAACCTGGGTGATAACCAAACTTCTCTGAGTGAGCAAGGTTCTCTCAGGGAACCTTGAAATATGTTGGAACATGTTCCTCCTTCTATACCTATGGAAATCTACTGATTGTCTAAAATCCAATTTATTTCTCAAGAATCCAATTTAGTTTTTACACATTGGGAATCCACTACAGTGAACTGTTCCATACTTAACAAATTTAAACCACTAGTCATGCTCACAAGAAATATCAGGATAGCCCTGGCGGGTGGCTCAGTGGTTAGGGTTTTGATCCCTGGCCCCTGTAGCAGTGTGTGCAGGAGACAACCAATCGATATGTGTCTCTCACATCTCTCTCTCTCCCTTCCTCCCTCCCTCCAACTCTTTCTAAAAATCAATGGAAAAAAATATCCTCGGGTGAGGATTAACATACAAACAAAAAAGAAATATCAGGATAATCCAATGCATTTGTTTCTACAGTAAATTTATAACAATTAAGCCTCAGAAAGTGCTGCCTGCCTTATCAGTTTATAAGGACACTGGGCTTCTCCAAATTATGCCCAAAGGGACATCATTAAACATTAGGAACTCAGAGGCCTGCGGAGGCCAGACAGGTAACATAAATGGTCTAGTCCAGTGTACGAAAATCAGGAGCTGGCAAAGGGAAATTCAAATAACCCAGCTCTTCCTGTCATGAGGCAATGCAGGGCCAGAGCCACCAGTCTTCCCTGTGTGTAACAGGCCAAAACTGCGGGAGCCAAATGAAACAGGTCTGTGGGCTGCCAGTTTTGACCTTGTGCAAAACACACTATTTTCCTAGAACTTAGAGAATGTTTCCAAATAAAACAGCAGGAGGACACGCATGAAAAAAAAAAGTGGAAGTCACATACACACTGTAAATTCAACAGGGTCAGTAGACTGTATTAGTTGAGTCTTTCGTGATGCCTCACGCAAACCCTCAGGCCTAAGCTCTCGAACACCTCAAGGAGACCAACAGCTTCCCTTTGGAAAGGCTTGTTTGTGGGACGTGCATGGCACAGAAACTGAAGTCTTAACCACACTGGCTGCAACTTAAATACACATGTTTGAATAAGGGGTGGCTGGGTTCTCCTAGAAAGAATGGAATCCAGGAAGCTGCAATGGGTTTTTACCAAACTATACTGGTCTTCAAACACGTCATCCTTTTTTTAATTGAAACGAACACATTCACACAGCTCAAAACGTCCCAGTGGGATTGAAATAGAACAGAGTACCAAAGTGAATTCTGATAATTCATTTTATCAAGGTGAATTATTGTGGGGTGTTCCCCCCCCCCCCCCCCGTTCCATATTCTCTACTTATGAGAATTGTCTCTAGGAATAGATATTTCTGATGGGGCTGTTAATCAAAAGGCCTGATGAGCAGGCTGACCAATGAGAGAATCCCATTTGCTGGACGGAAGTATTCACGACAAGTCAGGCCAATGAAGGATCTATTTCAGAGATTAAAATGCTGGAATGGGTGAGATGGCAAGCGGTAGGGACCATGCAGTCCTGGCTCTCCCAATACGGGGTAAGGAGGGGTGGTGGGTGGGGAGGAAACTCCTACCAACACACATGAAGATATCACTTCAAAGTGACGGAAAGAGATGCCTGATAATATCATCTGAGCATAGATTTTGACTGCAGTTACTGCAAACTTGACCAAGTAAACTTCCAATGAGTAAGTTTGGTTTGGTCCCTATAAATTACAGCTGAGAGCCAAGACTAATACAAGAAACATTTGGGGTTCATATTTTTATTTAAGGAGAACGTGGATCTAATTAAATTAATTTCAGAATGAGACAGCTGAATTGTACAACTGCTTCCTGGCTCAAGATGTATTTGTAATTCACATTTATGTTCCATCCATTTGAATCCACTGATGTCAGCAAATAAACAGTTTTCTATTCTCATTCAAATGTTACTTTAAAATATGATTTTTGGACCTAACCGGTTTGGCTCAGTGGATCGAGCGTCGGCCTGCGGACTCAAGGGTCCCAGGTTCGATTCCGGTCAGGGGCATGTGCCTTGGTCGCGGGCACATCCCCAGTGGGGAGTGTGCAGGAGGCAGCTGGTCGATGTTTCTCTCTCATCGATGTTTCTAACTCTCTATCCCTCTCCCTTCCTCTCTGTAAAAAATCAATAAAATATATTTTTAAAAATATGATTTTTGTACTAATTATATCAATAATGCCATGTTCAGTCCCAAAAATCTACAGCACACAAAAAATCATAAAAATATTTAATTTCAAAAGTTATGATGAAATGAATACATCAGTCAAAAGTTTCATGCCACACTGTATATTCTTGAACACACGTTGAATTTGATAACCTATCAAATGAGTTTGAGTGTGAATTACAGACTCCCTGTGTATGCAGTGAATCCCTAGTAAAGTATTCATCTCTGGTAGGATACAGAATCTGCATTGATCCTCTACAAAGAGCATTTTAGGAACCCCGATTTAGCTGACAATACATGATGAAGAGACTGCATTTAGAATGTTAAATATGCCGAGGCCACGTGAAAATGTCTCTCAGCTGACATGAGAATTCAGATTACCCGTGGGGCAGAAAGCACGCTCACCTCCTCATTCTCGATTTTGAGGGTGGCTAGTCGGGATTGCAGCTGCTGGTACCTGAGCATGAGCTCCGCCTGGACCGGCTGCTGAGCGCTGACCTGACACACCTGGTGGGGAATCAGAAGCCACAGTTACAACAGAGCACCAGCCAGCCAGCCAGCCTCCAGAGGCATGGTTCTCCTACTTAAATGCTGTATGAATCACGCTGGTCCCCAGATTCCAGTTACATATTGACTTTTAACAGCCTCCTCAAAACCTCAGTTTTAAATATGAACCAGTTACGTAAGTGGAAAGAGCAGAATGCAGCTGCTTGGCCTGGATATGACTGGAAAGAGAGCAGCTGGAGGAAGCATCGCTCTAAGAACGGGGCAGTTGCTGGAAGCAGAGCTCTGCTGCTGATGTCTCACTCGCGGGATTCTTAATGACTCGGGAAGAGGGCAGAAGGCAGAGTGGGAAGGATGATCCAAATGGACCATACGGGCAAAACCCGGGCGGGAGCAGAGCCTACTGGTTCTAGTCAGCTGGGTGACTGTGGTAAGTTACTGAACCTCAGTTTTCTTCTCTGTAAAATGGGGATAATAAGAGTGCCTATGCCACAGGGTTGTTGTAGGGATGAAATGAGATAATGTCCATACATCACTTAGAACACTGCCTGGAACAGCAAAACCTCAAAATATGCGAATAGCTATTATTAGTATCTTTCAATCATGGCTTGTCTTGCCAGCACCAGCCAAACCATGTGATTCACCATGAATTTGAAGAGGCCACTTATCTTGGGCTTTGTCAGAAAGATATTTTGGCCATGATCTCAATTATGAATAAGGTCAAAATTAGGATATTTTAATTATATTAAAACTGGGCCAGAAACAATTTCTCCTCCTCTTTCTTGTTTTAGAAATACTCTCGGCAAAAAAAAAATAAAAAGAAAAAAGAAGAAAAAGAAAGAAAGACTCTTGGCAGATGAGGACTTCCTTTCATGGAGTCTCTAAAACATCATAGAAATTACTGGTTGCTGGCAGCACTGGCCATTAAAAAAAAGGCAACAGACTCACTATTAAAATAGTAATAGTTTTAAAAAGGTAAAAAATATTAACCCAATTAAAGTCACTTGTCCATGATATTTTATCATTCTATGGGGTGGGGCAAAAGTGGGCTTACAGTTGTTCATATGAAAAATAATACAATAATTAATTAATGAGTAATAATACAAGAGTAAACTATTTCGTGTACTCACAACTGTAAACTTACTTTTGCCCCACCCTGTATGTTATCACATCCATAATTGAAAAATTAAAACAGCATCCACTTGGAGAAACATAACTCTGGGTAGCATAAGCCACTTGCCTGTCAAATTCACATGCTATTGGTTTTAAAAATACCATTTCTGCCGAAACCGGTTTGGCTCAGTGAATAGAGCGTCGGCCTGCGGACTGAAAGGTCCCAGGTTCGATTCCGGTCAAGGGCATGTACCTTGGTTGCGGGCACATCCCCAGTTTGGGGTGTGCAGGAGGCAGCTGATCGATGTTTCTCTCTAATCGATGTTTCTAACTCTCTATCTCTCTCCCTTCCTCTCTGTAAAAAAATCAATAAAATATATATTTAAAAAAAAACCATTTCTAATAAAGTAATTCACTATATCAAATCAAGCAAAAATAAAATTAGAGAGAAATATAGCAGGCACACACACAAACATATATCTTATAAGTCTTAACATTAGGTGCTTCAGAAAAAATTATGGCATTAAAGAAATCTGCCATGGGTATTATAATTACACCTACTTTTTAAAACATACTGTCATCTCAATAAACGAAAGTTGAATTTTTAATCTATAAGTATTGTTTTGCACAGCTGGGACATCAAGGGCTACATAGTACGCTCCATTAATTGGTTCTTCTTGTTTTCCCGTCCACAGACAGTAAAATATAGCACTGTAACTCATAAGAGGTTTAAATGGATTTTTCCCCCTGGGAAAATAAGATTTTTTGCATTTTTTTCACTCTGTCTCATTTTCACCCTTTATAATTATTTTTTTCTTTATGGGAGGGTCTTCTAATCAGGATTATAAGAAGTCTTCAGATAGATTCTATTGGGCCAGCAAAATGTTTGGATTTGAATTTAAATTTGAATGTCTTGAAGTGGAGGAAGCACTCTCTAACTATCCTGGGACAGTTTAGTGCTTACACCCAACTGAGCTTGTACCTGCATTTGTTTGGCCCCTTTAGGCCTTGTTTAATTCTTGCTTTAAAAGATGGTAGTAATGGCCGATCTGAGATAATACTATGTTAAGATCCCATACAAAGGCAGGAGAGCGAAAACAACTGGGAATTCTTACAACTGTTGGATTACAGCAGGTGGAGTAATGTGAGTGAAGAGACAATTCGTCAGTTTTAAAATAATGACTGACCTCATCACCCATGTGAGACTGAAACTCAAACTTCATTGGTGGACAGAAGGCAGCAGGGTACATCTCCATGAATCGCTGCTTATCATTCCTGGGCTCCAAATTGTCCACGGCATTCTCAATAATGTCTAAGCCTTCGTGTCTGGAGGTTTCAAGGTTGTACTCCGCAGAGAGATATGTTCTGAGGGCTCTGTTCAGACTTGCGTGGTAGCCAAGATCACAGCACTTAAGAACGAAAAGAGCACCATATGAAGGGACTGAGAAGTACATCGGTAGTTACAAGAGTCACAGTGATGTACAGTACAGCATAGGAAATACAGACAATAACATTGTAATAACTATGTATGGTGCCAGGTGGGTACTGGAAATACCAGGGGGTACAATTTGTAAAGTATATGATTGGCTAACCACTATGCTGTACACCTGAAACTAATACAAAATAATACCGAATTTAAACTGTAATTAGAAAAAAATGTTTAAAAACACCGCATACAATAATTAATTCAAAAAGGATCAAAGACCTAAATGTGACAGCTACAACTATAAAATTCCCAGAAAAAAACATAGGAGTAAACCTGCATGACCTTCCTTGCATTAGGCATTGGATTCTTGGCTCTGGCATCAAAAGCACAAGCAACAAAAGGAAAGAACAAATACATTGGATTTAATCAAATTTGAAGACTTTGTACTTCAAAGGGCATGATCAAGTAAAAAGATAATCCACAGAATGGGAAAATAATTTTTCTTGCAAATCATATATCTGACAAGGAATTTGTATCTAGAATATATAAAGAACTCTTACAGCTCAATAATAAAAAGACAAATAGCCCAATTTAAAAAGTGGGCAATAGAGCTGAATAGGTATCTTTCAAAAAAAAGATCTACATATGGTCACAAGCATATGAAAAAATGCTCAACATCATTAGTCATCAGGGAAATGCAAAAGAAAACAATAGAGAGATACCACCTCACACTCAGGATAACTACAATAAAAAAGACAAATAACAACAAGTATTGGGCAGGATGTGGAGAAACTGGAATCCTTATTCACTGTGATGGAAATGTAAAATGCTGCAGCCACTTTGCAAGAGGCTCGTAGTTCATCAAAAGATTAAACAGAGTTAACATATGACTTGGCAATTCCATTTCTAGGTATGTATACAAAAACAAAACAAAACATATTTTCACACAAAAACTGTATTTTAATGTTTATGACAGCATTATTAATCACAGCTGAAGAGTAGAAACAACCTAAGAGTCCATCAATTAATGAACAAAATGAAGTATTGTTCAGCCACAGGAAGAAATGAAGTACTGATATATGCCACCATATGCAAAGTGAAAGAAGCCAGTCACAAAAGACCACACATTATGATTCCATTTATATGAAATGTCCACAATAGTCAATCTATAGAGACAGAGGTAGATTAATGGTTGCCTGAGGCTAGGAGATGGAGGAATTGGGGAGTAATGGCTAAGGAGTGTAAAACTGCTTTTTAGAACGATGAAAATATTCTAAAATTGACTGTGGTGATCGACACACAACTTTGTGAATATACTAAAAGTCAACTGTACATTTTTAATGAGTAAACTGCATGTCATGTGGATAATATCTCAATAAAGGTGTTGAAAAAATTAAAGCAAAACCAACATTGCAAGGAAATAATGAAAAAAATAGCACTTGAGTTTGTCCATGCATACTGAGATTAATACAATGAGTTATGGAAGTCCTTCTAGGATGCAAACCTGCTAACTGTAATATTTTGGATTTGTATAATTTACTGAAGAATCAGTAATAATCTGTATTCTTTCAGAAAGGAGAACAGGTTTTAATCTGCACAGAGTCTGGGAATGCCTTATTTCTTATCCCTAGAATAAAATTCTTTTTTTAAAAAAATTCTCACTCGAGGATATTGTTCCATTGATTTTAGAGAGCAGAAGAGAGAGGGAAACACAGAAATATCGATGTGAGATTTTTGGTGGCCTCCTGCATGCACCCTGACCAGGGCCGAGGCCAAGGAGAAGCCTGCAACCAAGGTATATGCCCTTGACTGGAATCGAACCTGGGACCCTTCGGTCCACAGGCCAATGCTCTATCCACTGAGCCAAACCAGCTAGGGCCCTAGAATAAAATTCTTAAATTATAACAAATGGTTGCCAAAGTCCTTTTATTAGAGTTAGAATTTTGTTTTGTATTCCTAGGGATAAAAGGGCTTTACAATTCTTGAATCTTCACTATCATTAAATTGTATTTACATTTATTTTTCATGTTGCGTTTCAAGAGAATGTAATTTTAAAAATATATATAGTGCTGTACAAGATCAGTTATAAATTACTGACAGAATTTACAGCCTATATAATAAAGAGATAATATGCAAATTGACCATCATGCCCTCACACAATATGGCCGCCCCCATGTGGGCACAAGATGGCCGGCAGGGGAGGGCAGTTGTGGGGGGGACCAGGCATGCAGGGGAGGGCAGTTTAGGGGTGACCGGACCTGTAGGAGAGGGCAGTTAGGGGTGACCAGGCCTGCAGGGGAGGGCAGGTGGGGGCAATCGGGCCGGCAGGGGAGGGTAATTAGGGGCAACCAGGTCAACAGGGGAGGGCAGTTGGGTGGGGACCAGGCTGGCAGGGGAGGGCAGTTGGGGGTAATCAGGCCTGCAGGGGAGGAGAGTTGGGGGCAACCAGGCCTGCAGGGGAGGGCAGGTGGGCGCAATTGGGCCGGCAGGGTAGCACTTAGGTGTCGATCAGGCTGGCAGGGCAGTGGTTAGGGGGTGATCAGGCTGGCAGGCAGAAGCGGTTAGGGGCAATCAGGCGGGTAGGCAGGCGAGTGGTTGGGAGCCAGCAGCCCCAGGTTGTGAGATGGATGTCCGACTGCTGGTTTAGGCTTGATCACTGTGAGCTCAGGCCTAAACCGGCAGTCGGACATCCCTCAAGGGGTCCAGACTGGAAAGGGTGCAGGCTGGGCTGAGGGACAACCCCCCCCCCCTCACCCAGTGCATGAATTTCATGCACCAGGCCTCTAGTTTGTACATAAAAGTAATATAAATATTTAAAAGAGAAAACAAGTGGTTTTAGGGATAAAAAACCAGATCATCCCTATATTGTTCTAATAAAGTTCAATAAATTTAATTTGATTGAATTCAACTCACTAATTGGCCATTTACTGGGTGCCTGGGAATTCAATAGGCTCCAGAAATATGAAGACTGGAAAACAGTAAAATAAAATCTCCCTTCTCAAGGAATTCAAATATAAGCTGCTCATTAACTTGCTACTAAGAGTAGTAGAGACACAAAGGAAACAGCCTCCGATCTGCCTTCATGAAGGGACACATCTGACCAGTGACCTGTCCTTAGAAATACCAGTGTATTTCATTCCACCCTCCCCATCCAACTTCAGAATTATTAAATCTGGAATTTTTACATAAATACATTCTAAAATCTTGTTACTCAAAGTTGGTCTGTGGACCAGCAGCATCAGCATCACGTGTTAGAAAATGCAGACTCTTGAGCCTCACCCCTGACCTATTGAATTGGAATCTGAAGTTAAAAAAACAACCCGCAGGTGACTCATATGCACAGCGAAGTCTGAGGAGCACTGCCCTGAAACAAGAGAGGGTTCTGCAACACTGTGTTTCGGGGTGCTGTTTCTCCGGGCAGGCAAGAGAATCGACTTGATTAAAGATTACTTGATTTAAAAGAGCAGAACATAGCTGCCACATCACAATGACAAGTACAAGCAAAATGCAGTTGCGAAATGCAGCAATCAGTCTCATCATTAATACATTTCCAGTGGCATCAGCTGCACTCAAATACAGAGACTATTTTCAGTTAATTAAAAAATTCTAAATTCTAGCCTGAGATGAGCAAAGACTGCTTTTATTCCTCATGCTCCTCAAAATCCATAAAGGTTCTTTGTAGCAGTTTTATACACATCAGAGAGACTGAAAATTCTGTATTTCAATAAAACCTCATCTTCTGAAAACACGAATCTGTAAGGAAATGGCCTCATTTCTTTGAGATGTACCGTGCTTCCAAACACCCCACTATTCTGCAAGAAAAAAATTCACCTTGATTATAATGAAGCATAGCACACAAGTGGCTTTATTTTATGAGTACTCATCCCAATAGGCCTTCAGAGAAAACTGGTATTGAGAAGAAACAAGCCAGAGAAAAGCCCCTCCACCCCTCCCTACAAAAGCCAAGTCTCCTTTCAATTTAAAAGAGAGGAAGAGAGAAAGAACAAAGGAGAGAAAAAAAAAAAAGAAAAAAAATCCAACCCCAACTACCCAGAAGCTCTGAAAAATACATGGTAAGCTTTCATTATTCCCAGAAGGAACAGTTCATCCCTCAAATTTCCAAGCGTGGCTTTGTTGGGAGTAAACGTCAAGATGACAAAAGCCCCAGGGTTTCCACATGCAGGTCAGCGGGCAGATCTGCTAGGTCTGGACCCAGTCACGGACCCCGACGTCACTGTGTCTCCTAACAGGTCGGGGAGAAGCATGCATGTGGCTTAGGAACTGGTCCAGGGGCCTCGCCAGGTGTCCTCCGGACTCTGACGGCTACGGCTGCCCTCAGGAGGCTTCTGTGATGAGCGCTGATGGGAAGTTTCCTTCCCTGACCCCTACAGTGCTATCAGTCTGCCAGGTCACTTAATTGGCATGATTCTGTTATGTCCCATATACGGTGTTTTCACCGATCTAGGTTTTGCAAGCATCCTGAACATCAAAAGAAATAAGAAACAGGGATGAAATTCTTATTCAGGGTCGCCTGAGATAGCAGAGTCTGTATACACAGTCATCTTTTTTTCTAAACTGGAAGCTAAAGCGACACTGGATATGCTAAGATTGAAGATACTTGGTTAAAAAGACCTCAAGTAATTCTATGGAGCTTATGAATTATTAATGATGATATGAAAAGCCGGCTTCTGCACAGAGTTGAGTTATAACCCAAGCACATGCAATGATGAAAATACATAAGAAACCAATAAAACAGTTCATGAAAACAAAAGCATTGTGTGTGTTTGGTTGTGTTTTTTAAAAAAAAAAACACAACTATGAGTGGATACATAAAATTATAGAGTAAAACTGGGGAAAGATGGTTGGATGCAGATGGCTGTATTTTTTATTTAAACATCCTGAGAGCTGCCAAGATAGATTCCACTAGATATTAGTCTAAATCACTAAAATAGGCTAATTTCCTTAGGCCAGTGGTTCTCAACC